AGATTTTAAAATAATTCTAAAAAAATTTTCACCAAAATTACATGTTAAGATAAAATTTGGAGGTGCACCTTAATTGGATTGTTTAACGTTGCAACCTTCCTTATAGAAACCACACCTAGTTTATAATTTGTATTAAGTGTAACATTGCACTATGGAAGTAAGATGCACCGAACAAATCCACTTGAAAAGATTGTTTGGATGTCGGGAACCCTCATAATGGAAAAAAAATCTATTTTTATCCTTAATTATGGAAATTCGAAGTTCCAAATATGGTGTATATCAAGCAGAACTATATGCACTAGAAAATTTTAAAAATTGATAGTCTATATAATGTGTATAAGATGGACTATATTTAGGAGTTCAAATCTACTTTTTCTTTCATTTTTATTTTCTTTCATTTTCACACATCTTGAGGTCGAGATGATCAATTGTAGAGTTTTTTTTATATAAGAGCATCTTTTTAAGGTATTTTGTAGATGCACCTTCAGTGTAAGGTAGACACCTTGTATGAACTTATTTATGTTTAGTAGGATGATTTGACGTCCTTAATGAATCTATAAGGTATTTAAAATCACTTTATCGACACTTCCATATTTCAGTAAATCTATAATATTAATAATTTTTATACTCGCGCTCCACGAGTTACACAGCTTCTTCACTGGTTTTTAATGTTTGGCAGATGAGTTAATGAAATTGGAACCCTCGCATTAGGGGTGGCAATTGACCCGAACCGTACCCAAGCATCCGACATGGGTCTGGGTAAGGGTCCAATATTTGGATCCACAAGTCGGGTATAGGTCTAAAACTTTGACCCAAACACTATTCTGGTATGGGTCTGGGTTCGAGTCCGGTTGAATCCGACCATACGTGTAAACTATTGGAAATATAATATTTCAAGCCTATTCGTTTGGGTGTATTAGACAGCTTGAAATTTAATGGTAGGTGATTGTGACCTCGTTGCCAATAACAAGAGTATATGAGAGTAAAAAAAGGGGCAAAAAAAAAAAAAAAGCTCGTAGTGATGGTGGCAATAGACCCAACTAGACCTGGGACCCGATGGGATAGACCCGAGACCCAACGGGTACAGGTATGAGTCCAACTTTTGGACCTGATGGGTCGGGTCTGCGTCCAAAACATGGACCCGAATACATTCTGGTTCAGGTTCGGGTCTAGCAGAACTCGACCCATACCCAACCTATTGCCACCCCTACCTCGCATGTTGCATTTCACCTTACTAGCCACGAAGCTGAGTCTCGCAAGTCCTGTATTGATTTGCAACTCGAGGCCTCAACCTCCAATTCGTTATAGTAGAATCGACGATTCTAGGGGACATGGCCGGATCTTTATATATCATGGGATTTGGATTGCCATCAACGATTCTGATCCAGATCGACAATTTTTTAAGCCTAACTTAGGCCCAAAGGGCTTGGGGTCATTTAGCAATAAAATGTATTTATGTTAGTGTTATTAAAATTACATAATAAAAAAAATACTGGTTTGACATGCCACAATTCATGGTAGGTACGTAGTTTCACGCCGTCCCTACTTGTGTTCTAGATGCAATGAAAAACCCCTTACTGCTACTATTATTTCAAAGAAAACCTATGTTTCCTCTTGGCAGCAAAAAATGGGGAGGTTCTTGATATGACTGTGATCTTTTATAAAATTATATTTTGCAAATTTTCTAATGAATACAAATAAAATTATATCTTTTCAAGATATCCCTTGAACATGACTACTTGGTCCAAACAGGACCTAACTACTTCCTATTTAACTATTTTTTAATTTAGTGAGAAGGGGGGAGTCAAAAAAGTGAGCGTGTATACTATGCTTCCATAAAAGCATATATTGTATCTACTCCCCATGCAGAAAACAAAGGGAGGAATTTTTTTTAATCTAAAATTTTGGAAACTGCCTAAGAATCACTAGGTAGATCATTTTTTTAAAAAAAAAAAATTGAATTTTAAGTTTTCTAATACTTGAATTAGATGTTATTTCTCCAAAAGCTGGTATCCTAAAATTGTTGCTGCATTAGATTTTATGAAGGGAGAGATGGACAATATGCTCCCATGGGAGCATAAAATCTTTTGAATTCAAAAATTAAAAAATGTGCACATTGTTTATCTCTAGTTATCTCCTCTTAATTAGTTATATAACTTAATTATGCATGGACCACAACTAATATATTGTGATTGTCAACCGACATGCAATTTGATTAATAGCTCAACCAATCCCTCACCAAAACCAAACTAATGCAATTCCTGTTGTAATGCTTGAGAGAGAGAGAGAGAGAGAGAGAAAGAGTGAGAGAGAATATAGACCAGTCATTATTATATTGTCTTCTTAATCCATAAGAAAGAGTGGGAATAAAGCATAAAACGGAAGGATCATTTATGCTTTGGAGACCCCCACATACAAAGAATCATTGGTAGAAGCCTGAAATTGACGTTAGGACATAGCTGGCATTTGAAAAACTCTCCTTTCCTTAGCAATGAAGGATGAGCTTATTGATAGGCATGTCTTGTTAAAAAAATAAAAATATTTGATCATTTTAAATGACAAGGGTCTATGTTGTTTAGTTGGTTTTTGTCATCTACACTATACTACACTACATTATTAAGCGAGAGTTAAGAGATTGACACGTAGCAAAAGAATAAGAAGCGACCCTATCATTATGGATGTGTTTCATTTAGGCATGTCTATGGAGCCATAGGGAGGTTAATGATGTTGTAGATTTCTTTTTTTTTTTTTTCTTTTTTTTTTTGTTTGATAGAAAGTTCACTAAATTTTATTGCTCTAGAATGAAATTACAGATTCTGAAACGGATAAATCAAAAAGAGCAGTACCACCTATCTAATATTTCTCCTTTTCTATGGAGTTGTTGTAAAAAAATTTAGAGCAATAAAATTATGGAATATTGCCAAAAAAAACAAAACGACCTTACAAAAATAGTATTAAAAAATAGCTACGTAGTAGATCTCTAGTTTAGAAGATAGAGTCTAGGATCCCCATCTTTATGAAGACGGATATATATCCATTTTAGTTTGAGAGAGAGATACTTGGATAGAGAGTGAGAGATCCGTGGGAGAGAGAGAAACATGGGATGAGAGTAGTTAAGAGAGACAGTGAAAAGATACGAAGGAGAGATTTTTGAAGGATAATTTATTGATAAAAAAGAGAATCTTAATTCATCCAAAAAAATACTTATTTGAGATATTTGAATATCTATGTACTTTTTTATTATTCTCCTCTAATTCTACTATCTTTATCGGTTTAGGATCCCCCGTCTTTAAGAGGAGAAAGACATAGCCGGTTGAAATTGAAAAAAAATTTAAAATAAAGAAAAAAGTGCCTTTCCTATGCTAGTTTGATCGGAAACATGGGGAAGACTCCTGATTCTACTACCCTCCAATCCCGATCCATACTACCCTCCAATCCCGATCCAGTCAACAATTCTGTATGTCAATTTCTGTTCTTTATAAAAAAGACTTACAAAATAGATATAATCATTTTTTATTTTAAACTTTTTTGTATAAAACTCTAATTTCTTGTATTATTTCATGATAGACCTTCATCACATATTATTTCATGGTAAACTTTCTTTTAAACGGTATAAGAAAAATCCCTAAAGATTTCACCATAACCCTCATCACTTATCTCCCTCTTTTATTGACTTTTAATCATAAAAATTAATCCCAATAAATTTTTTTATACCATTGTAACTCAAAAAAAAATTTTAACAAATGAAAAGGGAAAAAGAGAGTTTTAAAAACAAATCTTTTTATACCATTTTAATAAGATTTTCGAAGATGAAATGGTATAAAAATATTTGTTGAAACTAATATTTATTATCAAAAATCAATAAAAGATAAAGATAAGATATGAGAAAGTACGATGAAATAATATGAAAAATTAGAGTTCTATGTGAAATTTTCCCTTCTTATTTTTAATATAATGAAATTTAAAGCTTTAATGATAAAACAAGAGGCTTTTAAAATTTCTTTAATGATAGATTAGATGTGTCCTAAATATCGATAAAATTCTTTTTGAATTTTGAAATTGATGAATGAGAAAAATACAGCCATCCAATTTTACATCTAATGGTCAAAGATTAATTTTGACCACCTTGTAACAATGATAAATGGCATCATCGCATACTTTTTCCATGATTAAATGGAGCTCATTTCTAAGGAATATAAGATGAATCAGATTGCTCAAAGGGAATAAGTTACTTCCATTTTTTGGGGTAAATGAATAACTTCAATTTACAATGGTAAACTGTATTTTGCCACTTAGTCCAACTATAATTTGCAAATATTGATTTCCAAATAGCAATAATGGAAAGCTAAAGAGGAAGAGGCATCACAAAAGAAACTTAAATCAGCCCACAAATGCCCAATTCAATCTAATTTGGAAATAACCAGTAAAAACTGGCTTAGCAGCTCTAGTGAATGGACACATATCAAATACCATTTTTCACTTAAAGCAACCAAAGGAAACAAAAGAAAAAACACCAAGAAGTAAATAAATTTTGTTATCTAATGAAAGTTGTACATTAACAATAAATAAATAAAATCAATCAAATAAATAAATAAATAAGAAAAGAAAGAAAACAAAAAGGATAACATGCACAAGGTAATTTGTAGTTTCTCCACAACCAAGAGAGTAGCAAGCATGGAGCAATAAGCCAAACCACCCACCTTGGAAATTGGATGCCAAGCATATTAGTATCCATCCACATGGGATAAGTCCATTACTCAAATCAAGGACTACATTCTTTTATTGAATGAATAATGGGAGTTTCTAAAGAAGAAAGGAAAAAAACAAGCAATGGAAGATCTTTTTACCAAAAGAGTTAGCTAAGATTGAAAACACAAAAAACGAAATGGAAACACATCCATCACATCCCTATTGAAGAATATCAATAAAGGAAAAACATTCTACAGATCCAGATAAATTAAGAACACATCTTCAAATCATACTTCAAAGAAATCATTAGAGAACTGAAATCGTGACCCAAATTTTTTCTTTATTCTCGGGTGCTCAAGTGTTTTATGACAGCAGATCATTAAAAACGGTGTAAATGACCAAAACCAAAAGGACTCCCTACACACATGATCAAACCTCAAGCCTGTAAGGCATGAGCCCGGCAAATGACCATACCAAGAGGATTCGCTGTACACAAGATCATCAAACCTTAAGCCTTTGTGGAGTACGCCAGGTGTTGGATCGAAATCAACTAGAAGCTCAGAGTAAGATCCAACTCCAGCACTCAAAATGCAGCTTCAAACTAACAATAATGGTCTTCAGATGGAAAAGGACATGCTTTTCATTCTCAATCTTCAGTGTCTGGGTCAACCATGGACAACTTTAGACCACAGGGCCACAAACTGCCAGGCACAATATTCTTCTCGTTGATGCAATGTAATGGACAACCGACCACCCAAAGCTTAGAATCACCAGTTCTCTTTAACCAATTTAATTTTAAGCCCAGAATCTGCACCCCAGTCTGACCGATTAACACAAAGTTTCAATTCATGCATGCTAGACAACTTGCAACACTATCAGGTTCAAATTCATAGACCCTTCATTTATTATGGTTCCCACCATCCTTATTTTCTATTATTGCATCTTTCTTTTGCATATTATAAAATCGGACAAAAGTAGACCCAAAACAGAAAGGGGGGCCAAACAAAAGAGCTTCACCATATCTCTTTTACAGGCAACCAGGATTGACCATCTGAAATTTCAACCCTAGCCAACCCCTTTCCTATTGGTTTCAAGAACCTCAGTATTTGCTATAGTTCCTCATCCTAAAATCTTCTCTTCTTTCTTTCGATAATGAATTGGGGAATACAAGACTGAAATTAGAGTCCACAACCTTACTCTGCTGGCGGTACATCTCCATAGCCAAGATGTCCCCATTTGGAATTTCAATGCATGTTAATACAAGCTATGGAACTGCAATCGATCGAAACCCCAAAAAATTGTCAATACTTGTAGGCTCTTTCATCTCTTTTCCTTCTTTTCTAAATAACTAAGTTACAGCAACAATAAGACTTGAACTCAAGACAAACCATCTCACTTTGGTATATGGGCTAATCTCTCTATAGCCAGTATCTGACACATTAGGAAGTTCAGCCCATGCATGGTGTACAAGCTATGATTCTGAAGCCAATCAAACCCGAGACCTATTATGCTTCTCTCTGACTGCATCTCATCTCTTTTTAGTTTCTTTTCCTTCTTTTTGAACAGTAAACTAGGAGAAATACAAAATTCTATCTGAAGGCCACCATCTCACATTGTTTGCAGGTAGGTCATCACTATAGCAAAAAGCTGAAACAAGCAGGAAATGCAGCTGATTTCCTTCATCGAAGAACTCCCACAATATGCTGTGTTTCTCCCTCAGCTTCATCACTTTTTTTTTCTTTTTCCTTTCACTTTTTTTGCTTTTTTCAATACATTAAATGGGATGGGAAGTCCCAGAGAACAACAACTTCAAAGACTCATTTTCAGGTCTACCATCTTGCTAGGCAACCAAACTGATTGATCAACAAATATTGACCATTTTCCATCCCATACATCCACATATCCGAAAGCCAACATCAAAGCAATAGGATTGTCAAGCAATATAGACAAAAATGGTAACTTAGATTCCTAGCGACAAACACTATGCATGCTTAGCGACTATCTTCCTCTTCTCCTGCTTCTTCCTCTCTCTCTTGGTGTTGATGCACCTTACGCCAGCAACCCAAACAAAGCAAATCAAGACAGAACGTTTCCTCATACTCACCATCAGCTATGCATCTCCCACATTGCACACACCGTGCAATGCATATGGTGCAAGCCCTGCATGCCTGGTTTGCTGGCTGCTTTGCTTGGCCGTGATGCATGGGGCAATCATAGACAAGCCTTAACTTCTCACATATGGGGCAGGTCTCTATGTCTATGGCACGCTCATCATCACACAACAGAGAAGAGGAAGAGTAACTGCTTGGGTAGAACTGGGGCTTTCGATGTTCAGGTTGCCCCGTTTTGTTAGCATCCAAAAGGGACTTTAACTCTTCGAAGTGTTGGTGGGTCACCCCATAGAGGCTTCCAATTCTTAAGCGTTTAATACCCGGAGAACCAGGAGCCTTTAACGCCCTCAAGCTGGCGATGATAGCTTCAATGCTCAATCTAGTACATCCAGGAACATTTAACTGCATGAGAGATAAAAGGATCATTAAATAAGCAAAGAACCTACTCAACTTGAGAGGCAAGGGCATAATAGACCTTAAAAAATCACATTTCCATGTATTGAAACTGAAAAGAGAATAAAAGGTGGGCAAAAAGGAAAAACAATAAGGGAATCTATAGCCTTTTTTTATAAAACAGGGATTGAATAGCTACAGGCACCAAGTCGATACACGCAAGATTGAAAATATGACTGCCTTCTATTTTTACTTATTTTCAAATAAGTATTTCCTAATATTTTCTCACAAGCTGACATCAAACTTATTTAAATTATCTAAAAAGCGAGAAGCATAGACACCGAGGCAAAGATGAAAAAGGAAAGTGGTTGCAAAATATAGCTATCCACCAATTACGCATTTACTCGCAGCATAATGTCTTATAAGTTATAATGCACATAAAAAGGAAAAAGGAGCGAGAGCGATGAATTGTTGATATTTTTTTAACGGAAAAGTATACAATGAGACCATTTATCTTTTGTACAAGGTAATCACAATTAATCTTGCCTTATGGTGTGAAATTGGTTGGTTGCATTTATTCTATTGACTAAGCACAAAATTCAAAAGAAATTTTCTTGATCTTTGTGACGTACTCAAGCTATCAAATTTCACATCGGATGGTTATATAAACAATTGTGATGTCCTTGTACAATAGATAAATGGTCTCACTATATACAATCCTTTTTTTTAACAGAGTTTGCAATTTGATCAGTTTTTCCCAATTTGAGTAAGTTAAGGATTCAAAACTCATGGCATGAAACAAGAGCCTACCACTAGACCAGAGGGCCACATAGAGAGAAGTAGATTGTTCTATTACCTCCATCAATGTGGCTAGTATAATTAAAATATAAATATGTATGTTAACAGCATCTGCGCACCAAATATAGACAATATTATTGACCATGATATAAACATTGACACCACTGATGAGCATCTTTCCCATAAAAAGAACTACTATGATCCTGGATATTCCCATATACCGCCTCCAAGATAAAAGAAAAAGACATTTAACCCCCTCTCAACAATTATGATCCCAAATAACCCATGTCTATTCCCATATACCGCCTCCAAGATAAAAGGAAAAGACATTTAACCCCCTCCTTATATTTTCATTGTCCAAATTACAACATTACAATTTTTCTTTTCCTAATAACCTCATCAATCATCATATAAATGGAATTTAAGATGCCTCTTTTAACCTACTTGTAACACTCATGAGATGAGACAGAGAGAAAAAGAGAGATGATCCAAGGGAAGTCGCGAGAGAGAGAGAGAGAGAGAGAGAGAGATGAGGATCCAAGGGAAGTTGAGAGAGAGAGATGAGGATCCAAGGGAAGTTGAAAGAGAGAACAAGAGACAAAGGAAGAGGTTCACGGATGAGGAAGATAGAGAAAGAGTGGGAGGTTCTCGAGGATTTGGATGACACGGTTATTAGAAAAAATAAAAAGGTTATAAATATCATAATTTCGATAATAAAAAAGGTGCAAAGGGGTTTAAGCGTTGTTTTCTTTTAACTTGGAGCGGGTCTATGGGTTTTCCATGAAACCAGGGGGGATATTTGGGATTATAATTGTAGAGTGGGGGGTATACGTCATTCTCCCTAAAAGAGAAACTCATAGGATTCTTAACCATAACACCTGCAGTTTTTTCCATTGTTTTTCTTCGTCCATAACATAGCTGATCTAAATTGACAATTATAATTTAGCTCCTTCATTTCCAAAATGCTATGATCTTTGGCCTTTCATAGTAACAACATTCAAGGCTTTTTAAGACAATTGGCATGCATGCTTTTGTGGCATTTGTGGCATTGGACCATGAAAATTCTGTCCCTTGTGTCTTTTGGCTTAACCAAAAGACTCATGCACTCTACACGCTAATCATTTAAAAAAAAATCATCATAATTATTACTCGATACATTCCTTTTCCCGAGCTGACCAAAAGTTAGAATTCATATCAAAAAGAGTGACACAATTAATAGCAGCCTTCAAGTTCCATTTTGGCTAGCAAGCTGAGTATCAGCAGATCCATATGAAGGGATCAGTATACCTCATCTGGGCTCTGTCCGTGAGCTAAAGATAAGGCTAAGCATGCTAAATATGTAAAAGAGAACACTAAATGCACCAAGATTGGATATAAATCCATAGATCATGCTAAATATGTGAAAAATAAATAAATGCTCCAACATATGATTGAAAAGGAAAAACTAAAAATGAGAATCATACAAAGATTAAATGCATGTTCCTGGTACAACACCCAAATAAACAGACATCGATTCAAGAAAATAAATATAGAAAAGGCAAGAAAATCTTCATCTTTCGCCTTGATAAGCCAAAAATGCCATTGAAACAGGAAAAACATAGGTATAGATTCTAGAGCATAAATATAGATTTGAAAAGCATTAACATATAACTATAACAAGCAAAAAATCTCCTTTTGCTGGATAGACAAGAATTAGAATTGAAGCATGGAGTAATGGAAAATCAGAGGATAATTATAAAGGAAAATAAAGAATATAAGAGGACCAAATCATTATGCTTACTAACCTCCGTAAGCCTTGGGTTGCTCTCAAGGACTTGCTTCAAGCCTTCGTCAGTGATTCTCGTGCACCCCACCAAGCTCAAGCAGTGCAAATTCCCTTGAGCCCTCATTGAAAGCTTAATTAGAGCTTCATCAGAGAGCCTATCACTCAAGGGCCAATCTACATGTATGCTACGCCACAAGAGAGGATCTCCACGCACCGCAGCATTCAAAGACTGGGACACCCTCTCGACAGAGAGCAAATCTTTCATACCCAAGTAACGTAGAGAGAATAACAGTGCTTCATGAGGAGCCCCATCTCCCTCACTCTTACTAAAAACTACATCGCAACCTGAAACATTTAACTTATCTCTCTCTGCATCTTCTACAGATTCAGGAACTAAACTGGACAATAAGACATTACCAATCAAATCAGTTTCATGGCCAAGACTGACCTGACCAATGGAGCTCTCAGGAGCTTCAGACTCGTGAATTTCAGATATAGGAAAACCCAATAACTCCTCCAAATCCCAAAAGGAGAAGAACCCATGATCTTCATAGAATCCACTTTCTTCAAACCCCTCATTAGGGGGGCTTCCGAATGCCATGGCACTATTCCAGAGCAAGTTCAAACCAGCAACAAACTGATAATTTTCGAGAACCAGATTTCCCGGTTCACTATAACCCCCTCCATTACCAAAAATAGCCCTTTCAACCATTAAAGGAGCACCACATTCTAAGGTGGCTCTAAGGTCCATATTGAAAGGATCAGCAGGAAGTATATCGAGGATCTCATCTCGAGATTCACAGGAATGGTTGTGAAACCCCCCAGTTTCCCAATTAAATCTCGTGGGTCTCCCAAAACTGGTATTATTGTTACAGTTCTTATCTATAAACCCCCCTTCCATTACATGACAGTTTCCGGAGCAAAATGAGGAAATCATATTGTCATCCGACCGATTAGCCGAATAGGAACTAAGATTCAGAGTCATTGGATTGTGTTTCTTTTGTTTTGGGGTTCAACCTTTCCAAACCCTACGTATCAAGAAAACCCAAGATTTTGGATGCCCTAAAAATTGCTCCAAAAACGTTCACAGGAGTTTCTTGTACAGGAGAATAAATTTATGGGGAAGAAAAGAATAAAAGAATATATGATCTTTTGAAGGATCTGAGAAAACTTCTATAAACTCTGAATCAAGGGGAGAATTAAATCTATACCTGAATTCAAACCTAATTCTTGTAATAGTGACCCACTTTTCTTTTTCTTTTATGTGAAATACAGATTTTCAGAATGCAAAATTGAGAGAAAACCAGACCTGATATTTCAAGGAATCCTACGCAACTTGCACAGATAAATTCTTTGAGTGAAATCCTCCGGTGATCCAATCAAAAGGTCGAGAGACGATAAGATGGATCTTACAGTGAAAGAAACTGAATTGATCAAACGACCAAATCAATACAAAGCAGTCCAATGCTCGACTGAAAAACTCAAAGTAAGAGAGGGGAAGCAAAGAGATGACAAAATTTTGTGAGATTTTTTTCCAGATAGATGCTTTTAAGGATTAACAAGATGGGTTTGAAGGAAAACCTAATTCGTCTCTATAGAAAGAGAGAGAGAGAGAAGATGGGTTCCAATAAAAGGTAATTGAGAGAGAGAGAGAGAGTAAGGAGTAGTTGCAGTAGAAAGAGAGATGGTAGATGAGCTTGCAGGGAGAGAAACTAGAGAGAGAGACGTGGAATGACAGATGAATATATAGAGATTAAAAAGAGAGAGGAAGGTTTGAGAGAGAATGGTTAAGGATGAGTTTGAAGGGTACAGAGAGAGAGAGAGAGAGAAGTGTGCAAAAAGATGGGTTTAAGAGATAAAAGATATGCTAAAGATGGGTTTATAGGTAACAGGGTTAGAGAGAGAAAGAGAGATTAAAGATGGGGAGAGAGAGAGAGAGAGAGAGATT